TTAAGTAAAATAAAAATTAAATTAGAGGGGTGTAACCATATTTCTATTATTATATTTCAATGTCACATATATAGTTTTGTTTTTTATTATAATATTAAGATACTAAATATTAAGATAAATATTAAAAAGATACTAAATATTAAAATAAATAAGCAAAAGAAATCAAAACGATGGAGAAATGAGCAGTACAAAAGAGTTAAAAGGTCATGACTAATTCAAATAGATAGAGGGAGTCTTCTTTCCTCTTACTAGTCTTCGTCATAGAAGAGACGTTTTCCTTTTCATTGTTCGTTGCTCTTTGCTCATCTTAAAAAGAAAATGATAATATTAATATTATATAAAATTATAAATTTATAATTATAAGATATTATTAAATGAATATATATTAAATATTAGAAATTAAATTTTAAGTAAAAAAATAATTATATATTATATAAATTTATAATAACATATAAATAATTATATTTTGTTATAAATAAATAACTAGTTTTTCAACCGATCATGCCGGGATATGTGACATTTTTTTTTTTGAAGTCTTTATTAGTAAAAAAATAATATTTATCATGTCTAACATCTTAAAAAATAGGAGTATTTAGGACCTTCATCCTCAAAATTATACACATTTACCATATGAAGGGGGGATTGTTTTCCTTTCTCTTCATTCTCCTTATTAAAATAAAGAAATAAAATTTTAAAAATAAAATAAATACATTAAATAAAAAAAATTCCCTTTTTTTTTTTTCTCTCTTCTCCCCATTCTCTTTATTCCTTTTAATTTAAATACATTATTAATTTTTTAAATGTATAAAATAAAAGATCACATTCAAAATAATAATAAGAAGAAGAAGAAGAAGAAAATACAAGGAACAATAGAAAACGACAGGAAATCAGGGTGAAGTGAAACCGAAAGAGAGGATCAAGGTATCATTGTTCCATTGATTCTCTAATTTGTCTTACATAGCAATTAAGATTGGCAGCGTCACATCGTGGACCTTTCTCCTCCATTAGATGAATTGTATCTGCCAAAAAAAGAAAAAAGATCCCAGTCTCCCCAGAGACAGATATGCTATAGCAAAAGAGATAAGGGTACGAACCCATTTGTGATGCATATTGCCTGTCAAGATTTCAGCCCTTCTGTTCGCCACAACTTTCATTACACATCGTGGACATTAACTATACTCTCATCTCAAGAGTTCAGATATTGATTTCCATTTTGAACTCAGCTAAAATTATATTAATAGCACAAAGTCATTAGGCATATATTTTTTGATATTGGTTGAACAATGGGACTCTCTCCCATTTCATGTCCCACTCAATTCGTATATCATACGATTCGATATCAAAATCTCTTATTTTCAATAAAAAGAAATTATTGTTAAATTATTTAAGTCGTTAATAGACATGAAAATTCTTATTTCATTAATAAAAACATATAATTATACACAAGACATTAAGTGCAACTAAAGAAAAAAAAATAAGAGCAAATCAATTTCAACATTATATTAGTATTAAAGAAAGATAGTGAGCAGATTACACGATTAACTTGAAATTAATATTCATGTATTCCCTTAATCAAACGTTTCAATACTATTGGACGCTTTTTGAATTTACCCTTTGTTCTTGTTTATTTATCTATTTTTTATACATAAAGTTACTTGTATTTGATATTGTAAGGATTTAAATTTTTGATATTGACTATAAATCAAAGTTTTTAAATCGTCAATGAATACTAATTGTGCCAAATTCTTATTAGTGTGTTTGTTTAATTCTTAAAGAAACTTGATTACTATCGAAACACTAGCAAAAACAATTTTATGAAAGAGAGTCAGCAAATGTACACAGAGGGCGAGGGCAGGTTGTAAAGTGCATGTCATGCAACAATTTGAAGCAAAAATATTATTAGTGTGAAGACTGATTAGGGATTTCTTCAATCAGAAAAGGCAAAACTTTGGCTTAAATGTATTTTCATTTCGTTTTTAGTATGTGTTGGAGTGCATTCCAAGGATCATGCCCAACTTGTAACTAGATCGAACCAGCAACTATAACATGACATGCAAGCAGCAATGTATTGTGAATGAATTACAAATTATAATTTGAAATCCTGAAGACCACAACATCAACATTAAAAACATGTTCATTAGCAACATCAAATTGATATCCAAGTTGAAATGAATCTTGCCTTGATGCCAAAGGCTGCCGAATCGTACCATATCTCATGATTATCATGCCAAGTAGCCAACAAAGCCACCAGCCAAAACACATGTCAGGTTCTAACTCCTGCTCTACCCATTCTTAGTTGTTTTCAAGATCTTTACAATTTGGAGGTGGCAACTTGCAACTAGGGTTTTAAAAATGTTAGCTAAAGTTTGCTTGAATCCAATACCTTAATTTTTTTCATTTTGGGCATGCATTAGGGTGTAGTCCAAGAGATCGTCACAACTTTTTCTCAATAATTTCCATTTTAAAGCATGGTATTATATATTGTGGAAAATTGATTACTTCGTGTAGGACTAATCTTTCCAACTAACGCTGTTGTTTGGAAAAGCCTGGTATAACATTACAATCAACCCTTGGTTTTCTTCCCTAAACCAATTCTAATTGTATGTTTGGGTTGAAAAAAAATAAAAGAAAGGGAAATCAAGAAATAAAATGTCCCTCCTATCTTTTCCTCTCATTTAGATAAGGGAATAAATTAAAAAAATAAAGAAAATTATTCCTTTTCCTTCCCTTTCAATTCTTTTTGATAGCCAAAAAAAATATTCCCTTTTCTTTCTTTTTTTTTTCCTTCAATTTTCTTTAAACCAAATACAGTGTAAGAGGAATAACAAGAGCTTCTCTCGGAAAAATATAGTCAATGTTCAATGCCCATGGAAATTGCTTCGGGCTTATTGTAGTGCAAGCAAGCCCAATACTAACGCACAATTTTCCAACTTTTGGGTGATTATTGTTATGTTGGAAGAACGCAAAAGGACATTCAGCGGGCTGATCAATTGATTGGTCCACATAGGATCCAGCCAGTTTGTTTGTTTGTTTGTTTTTTTAGGGGGGGTGAGGTAGATTGGAATTGCATGTGTACATTTTAAGGAGAGTCATGAATTGTAGTCCATTACAACCTTAGTCTTAGAAAACAGAGCAACAAGGAAACAAGTAAATCAGAAGTTGGGCAAGCCGAGTGGTACACCAAGAATGTAACGCCCCAACACCCCACCCCCCCGCGACCTTTGGAATTAGAATACCACCCTGGTCACATTCCCAAAAAAGGAATACAACCTTGGTCAAGACTATATTGATTTTCATCCCCTTGAAACCTGTCATTGTTTTGCAAGCAACAAAGAAACAGCACACTGTTCCAACACATTCACAATGAAAAATAAAAGGATACCATTTCCAGTTGAAAATGAGTTAAAAGAGTTCTCTTGATATATATCTGACCCTGTATGAAATATAAATTGTACACCTTGAGGTTCACTGTGCCCTCTAAATCACATAATTATGCCTGGAACTTTTATTTCGTAAGAATTAAGTTACATGTTTAACCTCAAAAAGTCTAAGAGTCGTTAGATGAAGCTGCATCATCCTTGTGCTTTATCATACCAGAATCCACAAGAATGGGAATCTCTGCTGCAAGCCATGGAGCAAGACCCAAACAAAGTGCATGTGCTATACCAAACCTCGGACTGCAACAAAAATAAAAAATGAAACAACTACTTACCAACAATTCCAACACAATAACGAGAATCCAGAGCATTTGGGTAAAAATTTTCAAATGAAACTTATGAACACAACCAGGCAATATAAATTACATTCATCGCTAGGTACGAGAAATCAAACTATTGCAATATGGTTTTCAAGTGCAAACACCAATCGTTCAATGTCCTCCTGGGGCTAGAAATTTAACTCTCATTGGTTCAGAATGGTTCATTCTGGGGCTGAGAACAAAACAAACCACACTATAACCAAAAGATGGAAAATTTTAATGAAATTATGCAAAACTAAGCTAAATAAGTTGAAGAAAATTGTACTGTTTCCTATATATTCTTTGCTTTTCTCAACACCAACAATAAAATTGAGGGCAAAATCATCATTCAATTTCAAATAGATCACCAAAGAGGATGCATACCAATTTTTCGCCCAAAGTGGCTTGAAATGCACAGTGAGACAAATCTTTCCTCCTCTATACATCTGCAACCACAAGAACAAATGATTAATAATCCACAGAAAAAGAAGAAAAAAGCAATTGATCAACTATTAGAAAAGCAAAAGTAAACACCTTTTGCGTCTTTCCGTCAAGTTGTGGTAGCTCGATCTCAGGTGCGGTGGCAGGATAAGTCACCGGGATATCAAACTGGAGATCAAACTCATACTTGAGAAGGTTGTGGACGTACCAGCACTTGCCCGTCCAACGGGTCCCCTCAGGATTGGCTGCGGAGATCCGGAACCAGTCATTGTCGTTGGACTTGTTCATCTGCGTGTAGGCGATCAGAGCCTTGTACTCCTCCTTGAGCCTCTGCGTCCACGCCGCTCCGTCCCTAGGGCCGGCCTTCGTCGTCAGCAGCGGGATCTGCGTGAGCGTCGACTTCGTGTTCGGATCCCACCCCTCCATTTCGAGTTTCTCTTCCTAGATGCTGCAAACCCGAATGCTGGATCTCAGTCTCTCTGCTATGATCTCCGTGATGGCTGTGTGTGATCGTTAAAAGCTCCGTCTGTTTTTCCGGGAAAAAGCCTGTTATCTTCTATTGTCAAAACTTCTATGAGCAGTTTTTTTCATATTTCAAAAGGTTAGTGGGTTAAATTGACAATAAATTAAAATAAAGGGCATAATTGAAAAACATTGTAAATTTAGGAGCTACTCAAGGTTTTTCCATAAGTTGATGTTATAATTATAAGCTTAATAGATTGTCACGTGAAAATAATATCTATCAATCTTAATTCCTAAAGATTAAGAGAAAAATTATTATAAACTACGTCGTTTTAATAAATTTTTATTGAAAAAAAATTAAATTATCATATTTTTAAAGCATGTATTAAGGTAATTTTTATCATTTTTCCTTTTAATTTTTTAGGGATAAGCGGACAAGCACTAATCCTTGTGATATTATACTAAATGAAATTTATAGATTAAATATCAATTTTGGTCCCTCAATCTAAGATTTTATATAATTTTTATCTCTTATTTTTTTTTACATTTTTTAATCCCTTGATTATGAAAAATGTACTTTTTTGTCTTTTAGTTAGTTAATTTATTAAATCTATCTAAATATGTACATTTTTAATCCTTCAATTTCTAATATATGCACATTTTTTTATCTCTTGACTTAAGAAATTAAAAATGTGCATATTTAAATAAACTTAATAAATTAATATAAGATTAGAAACTAAAACCTACCAATTTTGTAAAGTGAGGAGTTCAAAATTGGTTTTAGCCGAAGACTAAGGGTGGAGTGTGGGCCACCGGGCTAGGGTCGTTATTCTTAGCGGTTGGTAGTGAGAGAGGGAGAGGGACATTTGGACGTGCAGGCCTCAAAATATGAAATCAGGTTTTGGAGCAACGTGATTCGGCCTGAATTGTCTCTTGCAAATTTGTAAACAGGTCACATCCAACCGCCCCAAACGCATTCCTAAGCTTTCCATTCTTCTCTATATAACCAGACTTTCCTCCCCATCTAATGCACCCAGCAGCAGCAATACCAACCCCCTCATCCCTTAATTAGCTTGCCACAATAACCACTTCTAGTTAGTGCTCACACCCTTTGTCTCTCTCTCTCTCCCTCATTGATCTCATACATTCAATTATTCACCATGGCCATTGCCCCATCATTACTTTCCTTGTCTCTTCTAGCTTTTGTTCTCAATTTATGGGTGCAGCTGCAGGGCATTTATGCCGATTCTGGATGGGAAAGTGGCCATGCCACTTTCTACGGTGGAGGTGAGGCTTCTGGCACAATGGGTAAGTACTGAGTTTAGGCAACTACTTTCTCTTCTAATTAATTACCATGCATTATAATGCTAAACTTTAATAATTTCATTTAGTATATATATACCCAACAAATGGGGGGCCGGAAGTAAAAGGCGTAGAGCGCAAAGTGATTTTAATTAATTAATCATTGGTGGTGTTTATTAAGTAACAAATTGATTCTGTGTTTGGAATTGGAAAAGTACGTAGTCTTAATTAATTAATTTACCTTTTTCATTTTGGCTCCGAATCTCATATATACATTTGTCGGTGATGTGTCGGCAATTTTTGTCATTAATTCCAGGAGGGGCTTGTGGATATGGCAACCTGTATAGCCGTGGGTATGGGACTAACACTGCAGCTCTCAGCACTGCTCTGTTCAAGAACGGCTTGAGCTGCGGATCTTGCTATGAAATGAAATGCACCAACGATGCCCAATGGTGCCGCCCTGGTTCCATAATCGTCACTGCTACCAACTTCTGCCCACCTAACCCTTCACTCGCAAACGACAACGGTGGTTGGTGCAATCCTCCTCTCCAACACTTTGACATGGCCGAGCCTGCCTTCTTGAAAATTGCTGAATACAAAGCCGGAATTGTCCCCATTTCCTTTAGGAGGTAATTAATTAAACAACTCCTCCCCTTCTTTTAAATTCACGAATGAATTCGATCGATTCGATGGTCCGACTCTGACATTTTCACATTTCAACACGCACAGGGTACCATGTGTGAAGAAAGGAGGAATCAGGTTCACAATGAACGGACACTCCTACTTCAACCTAGTTCTCATCACCAACGTCGGCGGTGCAGGAGATGTCCATGCTGTTTCAATCATGGGAAGTAACACAGGATGGCAACCCATGTCAAGGAACTGGGGCCAGAACTGGCAGAGCAATTCCTACCTCAATGGCCAGAGCCTGTCTTTTCAGGTGACTACCAGCGACGGCCAGACAGTGACCAGCAACAACGTGGTACCGGCCAACTGGCTGTTCGGGCAAACATTTGAGGGTAGTCAATTCTAGACTTTGTGTATAGGAATTGGCATTGATGATTGGATTTGGGATTGTAGAAGAAGAACAAGTAGGGGATGCCAAATGATTGAATAAAGCAGAGCCTCATCATGTCATGTGGCAGTCTATCGTTGAGGTGGTTTATTGGCACCAGCTAGGCCTGGTTGATTTTTCCACCTTTTTTACATATATGTATACTACTTATGTACCTAGTGAAATGGATTTTATTGTGCGCTGCACCATGAAGTTCAGTTGTTACCAATAGACGGGAATATTTATATTTGATGTTGTATTTTATAAGAGAGGATAGTATTAAAAAAAATTAATTAAAAACTTAAATTTTAAATTCTTCTTAAATTATTGTTTATGAACAACATATGGAGGGCATTCCATTCATTTCTCGTCTTTTTAAATTGGTGAAAGGCATTTTTTCCTTGATTTGCAAGGTTTAATGGTAAGTAATTAGAACCTAAAACTTCCATTATACTATTAGATTAAGGATTATACTTATTAAAAGCTCCGTCTGTTTTCCGGGAAAAAGCCTGTTATCTCCTATTCTCAAAACTTCTATGAGCAGTTTTTTGCATATTTCAAAAGGTTAGTGGGTTAAATTGACAATAAAATAAAGTAAAGGGCATAATTGAAAAACATTGTAAATTTAGGAGCTACTCAAGGTTTTTCCATAAGTTGATGTTACAATTATAAGCTTAATAGATTGATGTTAAATGAATTTTATAGGTTAAATATCAATTTTGGTCCCTCAACTTAAGATTTTATATAATTTTCTTTTTTTTGAAAATTTTTTTTGCACTTTTTTTATCATTTCGTCAGTTAATTTATTAAGTTTATTTGAATTTACATATTTTTAGTCTCTCAACTTCTAATAAATGTTGAGAGACTAAAAATGTGCAGATTTAAATAGATTTAATGGATTAATTAACAGAATATTAAAAAGATATACTTTCCATAGTTAAAGGATTAACAAAGTGAAAAAAAGAAGTTAAAAATGAAAATTGTACAAAACTTTAAAATTGAAAAACCAAAATTAATATTTAACCAATTTTATATAATATAATACTAAATAAACAGAATCTTGTGTTATAATTCGCCTTATGAATTGTAATATCAACATTAGAACCCTTAATAAGGGGAGGGGATGGTCCAATATCAGGGACCTCTCCTTTTAATGCTTGTGATATTATAATTCATTACAAAATGGATTGTAACATAATTTTTGTTAAATAAATGCATATAATATATAATAAATAAATTTTTTTATTTTATTTGCAAGCAATTCTTTTTCTCTAATTTTTTACTAAATCGATTCACATCCTATATAATTTAAATTTAAAATGTTTCATTTTTAATAAAGAATCATTATAAAACCACTTATGTAGTCAATATTATAAATAAATTTTTTTTAAAAAAATCAACTTATAATATTATAATATTATAAATATAGTATTTTTATTTATTTTTTAATAATAGAAACAGATGAATTATTAAGGCGTAACTTCTTTTTCATATTGGGCCACAAATTCAAAGTTTAAAACTCCGACGGCCCAGAAGACCTCGTCCAAGGATTCCTTATTTTAGCCGCAAATCCAAACTCCTTTTCCTCTAGATTTTCCCCCGTCCGTCCGGCCATCTCTTCTCTCTCTATTTTCTCTGTTTCTCCTCCATCCTCCACTCCTCCAAACCCCTAACTTCTCAAAACCCTAACTCCAAAATCCTCCTTCTTCTTAACGAAAATCGATACAATTCTTCAATCATCAAGGTCAGCTATGGCGACTGCGGCTTCCAGAGAACAAGCGGTTTCTCTCCTCTTAGCAGCGAGCAACCATGGCGATTTGGCTGTCAAGCTTTCTTCTTTAAAGCAGGCTAAAGATATTCTATCATCTCTGGAGCCTTCATTCGCTGTCGAGCTTTTCCCTTATCTAGCTGACCTACGGCGCTCCCCTGAGAGCCTTGTTAGGCAGTCCCTTGTTGAGTAAGTTCGAAACCCTAGGCTGTACTATTTGATTTCGTTGAATTGTCTGTAGAAATGCTGGGTGCGTTGCAAGTTTATGGTTTGGGATTTTGTTGGTGACTGACCTGTATTGTGAAGTTGCTAATTGAATTACAGTTGCTAATTGATTAATTCATGATTTTGTGATATTGTTAAGCTGGTTTTTCAGCTCCATGGTGCATTGCAGACTGTAAAAGAATTTAATAAGGTCTCCGATTGGTTGGTTCCTGGGAGGATTGAAGTTTATAACTTCATATGGGATGCGTGATAATTAGTATGTTCATAAAGACAGTTTTAGCTGAAGTAGGTCTTGCTTTGTGTTCCTCTTGGTTGTAATTGGATGAGTAGATATAATTAAAAAGTACGAAGGGTTGCAATGAGCATTTTAGTTACCTGTGCATGCAGTTTCTTTTGGCATTTTAGTTGCTCAATGAATGGCAGTCTCCAGAGTGTCCTACGTTAGGGAGTTATGCCTGCAAGCCAGTGCTCTTTTTGGGTTGGTGGGGTTGTTCTCATCAGGCCTTTGCTTACTCATGTGTATTTCAGCAAGCATGCCTCAATTTCCTTCTTTTTCTTCTTCTTCTTTCTCTCACTCTCTCTCTCTCCGTTCACCTTGCATTAGGTGAGACCCAGTTGCAGTAGTTGGAGCTTCATTCTCTTTTTGTTCTTTTTTTCTTGGCAGGGTGATTGAAGAAATCGGATTAAAAGCAATTGAATATTCTTCTATGCTAGTTCCAGTGCTATTAGAATTTTTGAGGGACAATGACTCCATTGTTGTTCAGAAATCTATCATCAGTGGCTCAAATTTCTTTTGCATTGTTTTGGAAGAGATGGCCTTCCAGGTTTCTCTTTCCTTCCCATTACCCTTTATATTGAATGTGGAATACATACTTAATGCCAATAATTTTGTTGTCATTTTTCTTCATAGTAATATGTTTCTTATTAGGTTCAATATTGGTTTTCTATGCAAAGTCTCTAAAATTACAATGAATGTTTTCAGACTTTAATATGACATGCTTTCAAATTTTAATTTTTGCCAGTGGTTTTGGGTGCATTTTTCCTTGTATTTTTGAATGTACAATCTGTAATCTTAATTGCTAAAACCATGCTGTATGATCCAAATGTATCTTTCTAGAATTCACTTATGCCTCCACCCAAAAAAAAAAAAAAAAAAAAAAAAAAAAAAAGAGAAAGAAAGAAAGAAAGAAGTTGATGATATTGATAGGATCATTTGATTTCCACATAATATTTACATGGTGATTCATCAATTGCATAAAAGGTATCTGCTTTTTTTGGCTAGTTGTGAAACTGTTTTCTTTTCTCTCAATATTATAGTTTCAGCAGCATGGTAAAGTTGGGCGGTGGCTTGAAGAACTATGGATGTGGATGATTAAGTTTAAGGACTCTGTATTTTTCATAGCCTTGGAGGTATGAAATGTAAAGTTGCTTAAATTGAAGTTTGTAGATGAAATAGATTTTGTTCACTGAGTTTGTGTATTATGCTTGGATATCTATTTGGCGAGAGTCAGACTTTGTATAATCCTCTTCTTTTTTTTTTTCCTTGATACGGTGGAGGATTCTTGAGGAAAATTTCACGTGCTTACGGACTGATTTTTATTTTATTCCTATATCATGTGCCTATCTCATTGAGAATGAAGAATGCTCCTGATTAGGTGCATCCATATGCTTGATTGATTCTTAAGGCTTGTGCATAGTTGCTGTATGTGAGTGTATGCTTGTGCTAGAGATAGAAGAGGGAGCAACATCTTTATCTTTTGTTATGCAATCCTGGCTAGTGATAGCAACTCAGTATGTTGAGTTACTGTAAGCCTTTTAAAATATACCTTCAATGTCTTTTCTTATAATCTATTGGGTATGAAAAACATCCTCCAATATGTTCAGTGTAATAAGTTAATGAGTTAACTCACATACCCTTTACTCTCTGGCTCACATTTGAAGCTCTTTTGAAAAATTTATTAGATTTGTATTTTGAACACTAAATATTTAATCAAGTTTATATCATCTGCTTGTACTTATTGTGCAATATCTTTTGACTTGTATCTCTGCTTTTGACATTGTAGCCTGGTCTGGTAGGGACGAAGTTGCCAGCACTGAAATTTTTGGAGACTTATGTCTTACTTTTTACATCTGATACCATTGATTCTGAAAATATTGCCGAAGGTATTGCAATCTTGGTCTATATTGGCTGATGACCTGCTTGGATCATAATGAGTTTATGAGTCTATGTTGTTGCATTAGGTTTTTTGCTTAGTCTTACAACTAGTTTTTAACTTTCTTTAATAATGGTTTCTTTGGATTGTGATTCTTTTGATGTTTGCTTTAGCTACTAGAGGAAGCAGAAGGACTTTTAATATATCTTGGCTGATTGGTGGTCATCCTCTCCTGGATCCAATTGTGCTAATGTCAGAAGCTAACAGGACTCTTGGCATTTTACTGGATCTGTTACAATCAGCCAGTAATCTTCGTGGTTCATTGACAATTGCTGTTGTCAATTGGTAAGTTTTTGGTCATCATTAGTCTATTTATTTTATATTTGAATTTGCAGTTTGTGGAGCTTTTCCCCTCTCTTTGGCTTTTCTTACTTTCTTGTTTATTGCTCTTCATCCTTTTCAGTGAACCAAGAATATGGATCTTTATTAATCACGTAAAACATGGAAAACTTGATTTTAAGACTGATAGACTATTAATGTACTCCCATGTTTGCTATGGTGTAAATTTTATAAAAAAAAAAAAAAACCCCTTAACACTGTACTCTGCCAAGTCACATAAAACTTTGAAAATTTTCAGTTTGAGTTATGAACTTTAATAACTTTCACTCTCAATTTGTGAATGGATATTTAGTCTACCATGTAAAAAGTTGAAAAGAAAATTAAGAAAAGAAGCGGATTGGGAACAAGTAGATTGAAAAGATGTGGGATTGTTGGCCAACATGCAAAAGAGAAAGGAAGGAGAAAAAAGAGAGATGGATGTGTAGATTGTAGAACTGTACTGAATTTGCTCATTTTCACAGAAATGCATGCATATACCTATGTATTCTTGGATTTGTCAGTTATACCATAGTTTATAACTTTTGTATAGTTAATTATAAGATAGGTTGATTGTGCATATGGATCAAGGGTGTAGTGATACATTGCTAATTTTTTGGATTCTCACCAACCCAAATTTTATTGTCATTGCTGCTAGCCCCCGGTTTAATTGACTATGATGATATATCTTGCCTATAAGTTATAACCGACAGTTGTGTATTGGGCTTCTTTAATTTTTCCTTGAAACATATGGTTAGTGCCAAATTTCCCGCCTAATTGTCTTTTTTTTCCTCCTTTATAGCTTGGGAGCCTGGATGGTTTTATACTTTATCTCGCTTTGAAGCTTATTTGCTTCTCTGAAGTAAAATGTCACTAATGTCTTCAAATTCTACTTTTCAATGTGCATAGAATATATCTATATCTGATTAACAAGGGCCTTAAAACCTTTTTACACATGGAAACTGCATTTTGCCCTTTCTGTGTTTTACCATTTTAAAAAATTTTGGAGGGATCTTGTAGCTTGGAAACAGGTTGTAGTACAAGTTCAACTTTGTGAAATCATTGCAGCATGCTGTCCAGCTCTCTTTTGAGGATTTATTGGCCTTGGATACTGCTGCATTGCCGATTCCGTTGTTGGGAGTTACAGGGCTAGACAATGTTCACATTATATGTGTACTATGGAGCTCCGTTGGCCAATGATAGGAATGGTTAATGGATGGATAATGGTCCCTTAATGCTGAGAGAAACTTGGTGGTCGGGCGATGCAGTAAACTATTGAGGCTATTTACAACACTGTTTTTTGGGTTTCTGCTGTAATATTTTTACAGCTGATCATGTGCAAGCTATTTAAAATGTATTGATTATTTCACAACAGTTGATGCACATTAAATACCTTAAATAATCAAAATTCTTTTTCATCTGGGATTCCCATTAAATCTGCTGTGTTTCCTTCAGTAGTTCCCAACTTTTGATTATGCTTGTTCCTGCAATGCTGCATTATACGAGCTTAGTAAGACTTAAAAACTGCTTGCATCTTGGTTTAAAGTAATTTTAGGAGTTATCCTACAAAGTCCTGAACACTTAGGTTGTTGGTTTGCATGCACATGGACGACAGTAGGTTCAATGCAATTTTTCTTCTCCAGAAAAGTACGAAGTTTAATCAGCTGCTCCACTGGTCAGTTGGTCATAAGAAAGCAGTCTATATTTGCATAATCACAACCAGGAATCTTATTAATGAAGTAGTTTATTTACAAAAATTCAGACAAAGGAGTTGAAAAGTGATTCCGATTGACATGTCCTGCTTAAAGCTTGTTGGTATTGACAAACAATCTAATAGCTAATATTGTGATGCAATTTCTCTTATCAAATTCTTATGTGGCTATGAGAATGCTTCTCTAACAAAGTTATATATAATCATACTTCTCCAGCTTTTATCTTCAATTCTAGGTGGTTGCATCAAAGTTTTATCCACTGCAACTTGGATTTTTTTTTTCTCCCTTTTAGTTTGATCTCCAGATTGTTATGATAAATTTTCAATTGGAACTTTGATTTGAAGATTGCTTTCATTAATGGAAACACTACTTTTGTCTCAATTAGTGCTTTCCCCTTGAAGAGTTGAAAATTTGAAAGATGATCTATTGTGATGCATGGATGCTTTTTTCCAATTATTGTTCAGATGAGAAAAATTGTGTTTTCATCTTGTTTGCTGATCCACGCTGTTGTTCATAACTGTTACAGTGTAAGTATTCTAATACTGTCATGAGCAAAAGTACTGAAATTTCCTTCTGCACATCTCTCTTGTGTAGGTTTTGCATGCGTTTTTGATGGAGTATGGAGTACTCCTTTTTTCTTTCCCCCTAAAAACAATAACATTTTCATGTGAATCAAGGTTCTAATTGTGTGTACTATGTGCCTATATCAGATGTTTGGTGGACAAAAGTCTGGAACAGGTTAATGATTAGAAGAAAATTTCAGGGCAGCTCCTTTAGTCTCTCATAACTTCGGGGCCATACTCATACTATTGCTTATTTTGATGGAAATTGGAACAGATTACTTGAAAAGTCCTTAATTGAGAAATTCTTCCTACTTCTCGGAAAAAATATATTTTTGCTAAGAAAATAATTGAATGGCTTACCCTTTCTGCTGAGTTCTGGACAGACATATTTTAGTGATATTGGGATGCGTTGCTGCATTACATGCTGTCTGTGCAGGCTTTGTTATTGGATGTATGTTATGCATGATTTTTCTTAGAAGTGTTGCATTAGAAATTGCAGGGAAAAGATGGAGAACTATTTGTTATGGCACTTGAAACCATGATTATTTTGGTTAATGTTCTTGGAAGATGACTTCTTTAAAAATTTATTCTAGTGTTGCTTCTATTGGTTATTGTTTATTGTTGTAAGGAAGTTTTCTATGGACAGGTTTTTTTTCTTGTTTGAAATAGTTCTACGTTTCATTCAGTACTGGAGTGGTCTTATTCATTTAGGACCTTGTATCGTCTTGTATTTGTGGTTTATGTATCTGAATGGTTTTTGAGTTAGGGCGGTCTTGTTAGGTGTCTTGTATCTCCTAAGTTGGGCTTTACTTTCCTGACCATATTTCCTGTTCTGTTCTCCAAATGTGAGGATTTTTTTTAAACTTCAATGGTTGTTATCAGTACTCACTAAATAATTTGTGTTCTCTACAACTGTGGCTGGTGCTATAAAGGCACTCTTAAAGTCAAAGGGGTACTGGAAAGTTTGAGAAGTAAAGATATTCAGCAGTATAAATTTTCTCATGAATGAGCATTGTGGTTCATTCTTCTTTTTTAGTTCCTTTTTCTTGGCATGTTTTGACTCATTAATCATATGATTAGAATTATTTTTTTGTGCTCTCCTGCTGCTTTGAAAATAATCACAAGTATTTCTTAATGAAACAGTGGTAATGTAAAAATTTTTTATGGAACAAATGAGTTTAAAATTTTATCTTTAAAATACAGATTTTTTCTTTGTAGCCTTTGTAACATCTGTTGTACTTCAAAATCCTGATAGACATTGTTGTGGTGGTATGCGATCATGTAGGATTTGCAAGGAATTTCACAGGTCTCCTGTCTCTATGTGTCCAATTTGTTCTAGTGAATAACTACATAAAAACCTGACTTCATCACAGTTACCAGGGACTCATCCATAAAATTGTCTAGTGTCTCGTCTCCATGTCTCCAGTGGTAGTGTATGATCATATAGGACATTGTGATTTTGGAGACATGCAGATCTGAAGTTGGTCTAGTGTTGAGTAAAAAATGGTTAATCCCTTGAAAGCTATTGATGAAATTAGAGCCTTACTGCAAGAATTGTTGGTTTTCCCAATCTTATAATTGTCTTGCCCGTTGTATAGGTCTACTCTGATTTCTCTTTTAGTCATTTCATAAGTTTCTGTCCAGAGAGTGACACTTTTTGCTGTGTTGCTGAAGATTTCAACTGTGTATGGTATACAAGTGTTTTTCTAGTTTTTCTTTGGTAGAATATGTGCAAATGTACATTGTGCTTGTTGAAGCTTTATCCATTTTTGACAGTAGTTCCTACCTCATTTTGGACTGGAAAGATTGCATTTGATCCATCCTTTTGCATTCTTGCACAAAGTGACCACTCTTGTCCATGATATTTGTGTTATATGGATAAATAGTTGGCTTAAGATGAGTTTGATCTAAACTGTGGTAGGTTACCAGATTTTGATGCTTGTTGCTTCTAGCTTCACTTTTGTTTTGCTTATCTTTTTGGTGCACGAGTGATATTAGTGATCATAGCCATGTCAGAGGTTTGGAACATTTGCTTCTCTCTTTATATCTTTCAATCTGAATGTTCAAGCTTTTACATGTCTGTCAGAAATAGGGAAAGATATCTGATGTATCATTTTACTCTTATGTTTGTGTTGTTCTGTGTGGCATTGTTAATTCTTCACTTTGAGTACTGTTCTTATGATATTTTCTATATCTAACCATTACCTTTTTTTTTTTTTTGGTTGATAGTCTTGCAACCATAGCAAGGAAGAGGCCCCTGCACTATGATAGAGTTCTTTCTGCACTGCTTGATTTTAATCCAAATTTTGAGACAATGAGGAGGTGTCATACTGCCAGCATTCAGTTTTCCTTGAGAACTGCATTTTTGGGATTCCTAAGGTGTACTTATCCAGCTGTTGTTGAGGTAAATTATTAGAAATTTACATGGATTCAGGATTGTTCAAAAAGCAGTTACTAGATTTATATAAATCATTAGCAATTTAATGGTTGCCTGACAGTGTTATGGAAGTCCTATGAAATGTCTACTCTCCCGTTCCTCACCTTTCATTCCTGCTCTCTTAGGTTGTGTTTGGTTCAATGGAATTGCTATCCATAGTTATTACATGACAATAACATAAAATAGCTGAACAGCTTGGCAAATGGAAATAAGGTTGCCTATTTTCTTTTAGTAAGAGGAATATGGTAGCAATGGTCATTACCACCTCTATATTTTTGTTATTCACTTATTCTACCTAATTTCCATTGATTAAAAGAAAATAGGCTGCTTTATTTCCACCTTCCCACCTCGCTTTACACCATTTATTTTATCTCATTTTGCAATGGCAATGGAATAGCTATTCCATTGAGCCAAACATGACCTTAGTGATCAAATCTGTTATGTGTACAAAGTTACAGTTTTCATTAATCCTTCTCCCTGCTAATTAAGGGAATATGCATTTTCTTGTAATAGTTATGCCCTCAGGCCAAATTGTCAAAAAGAAAGCTGTATCACTTGGTTTCTTTGTTTAGTGTTTACAATATTTAGCTGTTCCCGACGGGTACCGTACTTTATTTTCAGTCAAGAGATAGATTGCTCAGAGCTCTACGAGCAATGAATGCTGGTGATGCAGCTGAGCAAGTCATTAGACAGGTGGATAAAATGATAAAGAATAGTGAGCGTGCATCACGTGACACTCGGCTGAGTCGGGTGAGGGCTTTTTCTTAATACTTTTTACTACATTGATTTTGTTGTAGAATTGTTTGGCAGTTGTTGGCGATTGCCCCAATTCTCATAATAATATTTCTAATACCAGGAGGATCAACCATCCATGCAAGTGTCTATTTTGGGGGACCTCTCAAAGAAAAGATCCATGTCTTTGGATAATGAAGAGCCAAACAATAGTCCTGAGTTGGTCTCTAAACGTCCTCACTATGCTCCTAATTCTCACTTAGCTTTATCTGTCCAAATAAATGCCGGACATGATTCTGGTTCCATAAATGGACACTCTCCCAATCTTCCTCATTTGGATAGTGTTTTGACGCCTGTTGAACAAATGATTGCTATGATTGGTGCTTTGCTTGCGGAAGGAGAAAGGGGTGCCGAATCGCTTGAAATTCTTATCTCAAAGATCCAACCTGATCTGCTGGCTGATATTGTCATAACTAACATGAGGCATTTGCCTATGACCCCTCCACCATTAGCAAGGATTGGGAACTTGCCTGTAACTCAAGAGGCTAGTTCTCTAAGTAGTTCTGCAGAAGTTGTAATGCCGGCTGCTACAACAAATTCCATGCAGTCTTCAGTTTCCACAGCACCGTTGCCAATGCCTTCACTAGTTACAACCAGTTCATCATTATCTGATATTGCTACAATCACAGCTGATTCTAAACGTGATCCAAGAAGGGTAACCACTTTTTTGTTTATTTCTTATTAAATTCAATCAATAACAAATTTAGGTTGTTCAAGTTCTGTGCAAAGTTCACAACACAACTGTAACTTTTTCAGGATCCTCGCCGCCAGGATCCCCGGCGGGCAGCCACAACTGTTGGAGTACCATCTGTGCCTGTTGTGGAGGATGGTAGTACTAAGCAATCTGAGGTTGATGGTTTTCTTTCTAGTAAACCTCCTTTTTTTACTGCTGTTGAAAATCCTCCCCTTCTGATGCCCAATGTGAAAAGCAATGACAACATTTTAGAAGGTCCATCAGTTTCTGGAATAGATCAACCTGCTCCCAAAGAGGAAACTTTGGGAGGTATTGAAGAAATTGTCCGTATTGCAGAGGTCAATGCTTGTGATCATTCAACTTCCCTAAGTGCTACAGTTGATGAGGATTCTGCTCCTATGAAGTTTTCAGATATAGAAGCAACATATGAGATTGATGCATCACTTGTCCCAGAGTCTGATCCTAATTCTCCTGTTATTACCAATGCATCTGCATCTGATGAGATCTGTCAGGATTTACCTACGCTACCATTATATGTTGAGCTGGCTGAAGAGCAGCAAAGAAGTCTAAAAAAATTGGCAATTGAACAGATAATTGAATCGTATGTGCAACTTAATAGCTCAGATTGCAGCCAAACACGCATGGCATTACTTGCTCGATTGGTTGCTCAGGTGAGGATAATGTGTCTGTTAATGTATGTGTGCGTACACATGCACACACTTCCATTTTAGAAGCATCAGCTGTTATAGAATATATTTTATTGTTCTTAAATATTTATGATTGTGAATTGTGATGATGTAAGCTGCTATGTCCTTCATTCTAGTTTCTTGATTGGAAGAAATGAATAACATTTTACCTTACAACTTGCGTGACTTTAAAGATGCCAGAGGAAGTTTTTCATGATGGATCAGGTTATCTTGTCTTAAGTTTTAACTATTTAGGTTGTTCTAGTTTCATGTCAGAATATAGGTGTAGATGAGGGCATATTTTTGTTGGCAATTTTTAGCCCTAGTGAACATTTGTGGTTTACATGGCACTTGGCTTCTGTAGCCCTTTTGGTTTTTGTTCTATGGTCCTTTGTTACACTAAAATTGATCATTGGTGTCTTGTTGGATATTTTGCTTCTAAAGGGGCATGAATTGGTTCTTGCAGAAAACATTGTGCCATCTATATCCCCTGCCCTAAATGTAAATTTTTTTTTTTCTCTTGATGGAAATCTTGATATTTGCAACAATCTAGGCACCATGCAGTGCTGTACTGGGTTGTTAATGTGGTAAAGTTAAATGGTGTTGCATCCATGGTTGACTTTGTGCTATTTCTGACCACTAACTGGTAAATAATTTGTTTGGTGGTTTTGATGTCAACAGATGAATTAATTAATGCTATTTGAACTTTTGAAGTAAAATCAGCATGAAATTTGTTGTGAATGAAGTCTGTTTTACCAACACCAACTTGAGTGCTTTAATAGTCTACATCATTTCATTTTGACTATGTTAGCATTTCGTATTTGGAATGTTGGGTATAATTGTATTCTTTTGCTGTCTGTATAGGATTGCATTCATGAAAATCATGTGGTTATTTATTTTATTTTCAGATCAATGCTGACGATGACATTGTTGTCATGCTGGGGAGGCATGTTGTTACAGATTATCAACAGAATAAGGTATGCCATTTTTGAAAGCTGTAATAGTGGCTTAAAATAAGTTTCTTTGTTAATCTTGGGTTAGCTTTAAGGTTTTCATAACTGTGTAAATCACTTGTTTTGTCAGGGTCACGAGCTTGTATTGCATGTCCTGTACCACCTGTATTCTCTAATGGACTCGAGTTCAGTTGAAAACTCTTCATGTTCTGCTGTTCTTTATGAAAAATTCCTCTTAGTGGTGGTAAGTGCTTATTTGGTTGGGTCAAGCTTCCAACCACTTGTGAGAATTATATTTAGGCAAATTTTCTGATGCAGGTCAATTCTTTGCTGGATACTTTTCCTGCCACGGATAAGTCTTTTAGTAGACTTTTTGGTGAAGTTCCATTATTGCCTGCCTCTGCCTTGAAATTGTTAGAAGATCTCTGCTATTCTGATGTGATTGACTCTAATGGAAAAGAGGTTCGTGATGTTGAGCGTGTAACTCAGGGCCTTGGAGCTGTGTGGAGTTTGATTTTGGGACGTCCAAGTAACCGGCAGGCCTGCTTAGGCATAGCTTTGAAGGTAACTCAGTCATTGGGATCTTATAGCATAGAGTGGATTATCATTCTTATGCTTTTGTAAGCTTATCACTTTGTTTATAATGTTGGTTGTAGAGATTCTCCCCTTTTTTTGGGTATGATACAAGTTCCTAACTCATAACTGCACTGATATCTTTGTGATGTTTGATACAGTCTCTAAAATTTCTGGCAGTTCTGCACAATGAAACCTTCAGCTAGAAAAAACAACTTTATCTAATTGCCATTAAACTAATTCTGGTGTCACATTTTCCGGTAGCTAGTGGAAAATACAAGACCATTATGATTTGCTTGCATCGATGTGCAAATTCTTTCACACTTTAAAATAATATGAAAGAAAGAAAGAAAGAAAACTAATTCTAACACTTGCAATCTTCTATGCAATGATGAAATGTTTACCCTATAATGTGTTCTATCTTTGTTTTTCCATTTGTTCTGATATTGTTAATTCTATGTAATAGATCCCAGTATCCTTGTAATGAACTTTAATACAATTTTGCAACTTCGTTGCTAACACTGATGTTTACAACCAATTATTTGATTGCAAAGGGCTTTACCATAAAGTGGTACAGACCCATAATATTGATGGCTTTAGCCCCAGTCTAGTTGTGTTAGTGCCCATACTTTGAATAAACCTTTTCTGTTTATTGTTTTTGCTAAAGTAGTTCTCTGATGGCAGTGTGCTGTTCATTCACAAGATGACATTCGAGGAAAAGCCATTCGACTGGTAGGACAGTCAATCCTTGATTTATTTACGTTCTTGAGTTCTGTATGGGCCCCTCAATGAGCTTAGCAGATTTTTGCTTCTCAGAAGATATATTTTAGTTTGTATGTGATGTACAAACTTAACTTCATGTTCTTAGTGTGCTAAGTCTGTGTTGAACAGGTGGCTAACAAACTTTATCAGCTAAGCTACATATCAGAAAACATTGAGCAGTTTGCAAGAAATATGTTGTTGTCAGCTGTTGATCAGCATGCCTCACAAGCACAGGTTTCACAGTCTAGGTCAACTACCCAAAGCGCTGAAGGGGAGGTACAGAACATGTTTCTTACTATTCATCTACTTTTCACATCCCTATCCACCCCTGGGATCGTCCTTAAATTTCATTTAGTAAACTTACCCTGTTTTATTCATTCTGGCCACCAGTGCCTTTGGGCCATTTGTGTACCTAAAGGCACCTACCTAGGAGAAGGAGCTAGATGTGCAACTTATCATTTTGCTTTGTATTTGAAAATTCCAATTATTTGTGCTCCTGTTAATGAAATATAAATCTTTGACAGGATGGCTTCCAACTTTCAGAGTCTGGAACTTCTGACATAGACGAAAGGAGTATAGAATCCGTAACTCATAGTGATTCAACCATGTTATTACCTGAAGCTCAAAGACTTGTTTCTTTGTTCTTTGCTTTGTGTACAAAGGTCTGTCCATATTTGCTCAATTATCGTATTTCCTTACATTATGCTAGATTTTACTAATGCTAATACAGTGTGTTTTTTAATTTATTATTATTATTATTTTATTTTTATTTTTACAGAAACCTAATCTTCTCCAACTTGCATTTGATGTTTATGGGAGGGCTCCAAAAATTGTAAAGCAGGTCTGCTCTCTTGTTGCCATTGTAATTAATTAATAATAGACAAGGTTAGACGGTTTAGCCACTTTTGATGTTTGCCAGCACATAAAAACTGATGTAGCTTTACCAAACCATGCATGTATTTAAAAAAAGTTCGCACTAATGGCACCATGTAGGTTGCAATGGAAGTCAGATTTATTAGCAATATGCCTAGCCACACAGCCCCACTTGTGGGTTAATTTGGCATGGCAGTAGTAAGAGGTATCTTTTGGGGCAGCCAGATTCGCAGTATACTGTGAATGCAGGCTCTTCTGTTGAATTGTAAATTTTATTAGTTTTTAAGTAGGTCTGCTTCTTGGTTGAAAATCTGGACCTTTATTTTACTTGAGTTCAAGACACCATTATAGAGCTCAATAAAGTGTTCAAGTTGTATGTAAGCACATCCATATGATGTTAATGGGATTCCCCTTTTTTATTATTATTTTAATAGGAGGGAGATACAACTGCTAGTGTTAAGTGTAATTGGTGTGATATATAGAAAACTTGTAGATCCTGCCTGATTGGCTGTCTGCATTGCTGCTTGCTTCATCATGCCTCAATTGAAATAAAATCTTCTTCACCAAAATCTTATCATCTATCCCTTCCTGAAAGTAAAAGTTTTATTGCAAATGCTTTGAACAATTATATCAATGGTAGCTAGCTCTATTACGATTATTTCAATCAGGTTAGCACTTAATTTATTCTTTTTTGGCTGATGCAGGCTTTTCATCGACACATCCCTATTGTAATTAGAGCCCTGGGTTCATCTTATTTGGAATTGCTCCATATAATATCTGACCCACCACAAGGAAGTGAAAATCTATTGACACTGGTAGCTTTCTTCCTGTGTTTTCTGTCTTGAAAATATATTTAATCCTTCACAGCTGCTTTCTTTTTCTTTTATTCTTGGACAACACTGATATGGGAATTGTCTCCTGGCAAGGTGCTGCAAGTATTGACTCAAGAGACAACACCTTCTCCTGCCCTGATAGCCGCTGTTAAGCATTTATATGAAACTAAGCTAAAGGTTTTCCTAATAACTACAACTCATATTTTCTCTGGCCTATGATAATTTATCTGCTGTCTAAACCTGCATGTATGTGTCTGTTCTTCATTTTGCAGGATGTTACAATCTTAATTCCAATGCTATCTTCTCTTTCCAAGAGTGAGGTTGGTTACATTAGTTCCTATTCTTTCCTTTTCTTCCCTGTTTTTAATCATTTGGCATCTACAGATATATGCCTTCATCTCAAAAACAAAACAAAAAATGAAGAACAGGAAGAAGAAGAAGAAGAAAAGTTATTGTCATGCATTTTTAAGAAACCACCACTTAGCAAGCATAATGTGCATGAACAATTGAAAAGGAAAAGGAACCAGCAGGGGAAGGGTGGGTGTCTGGAAATGAGAATTAATAGACCAAAACACATCATGCCTGATTAATGTGAAGGGTGGTCACTTACAATGTATGTGTACATTTGTATGTACATACGTACTATCATCTATCCAGGTTGTTTGGCACAATATTTTAGATGTAAAACTGACTCATCTTCAACCATTTGTTATTCAATGCTAATACATAAGTAATGGCTTCTTACTCAACACTACTTTACCTTGCAAAAACAGAATCGTTGAAGCTTGTTCTGCTTTTAACTATTTGTTCATTTGTTCCACTTTTAATTTGTGTAAAAGTTTTCTTTTGTTTTGGGTTGTAATCATCATATGGTTACAGGTTTTACCTATTTTTCCTCGGTTTGTGGACCTTCCTTTAGATAAATTCCAGTTGGCACTTGCTCACATCTTACAGGTATGTGTGAATGCTCTTTTTGTGATTTCATAATTTATTCACCTTAAGTATGATGTGTGATAGCGATAGTTTATAGCATTAAATTTTGCTCTTTCTAGTCATATTTGATGAGACTCATGATTTATCTTCTAGAAGTTAATCGATCAATTCGAGTTGCAGATTCACATGGGAATAAGAATTCTTTTCTTCCTTTTTTTTTTCTTTTTTTTTTTTAAGAAGTTATTTTCAAGTATATTAGAATCAGTAATTTTGAATTTTTGAATTAGTGATTTCAAAAGAAAGACTTTTTCACTTTGAGCTGTTCCTTTACTGAGATATGTTCAGGGTAGGAGTAGATTTACTTGTTTGATTGGCTGCTCTGTGAACACACAAACTGTTTTATATCTGGAACTTTTTGATGAGTCTTTAAACATTTATTTAATTTGATTCTACCTTACAAATAAACTTGAATTTAGTTTAATTTATGGCGTTTATAGTAACTTTTATTATCTTCTTGATATCTTAGTCTGTACCAGCTGAAGAAGATGTGCAAGCCTCTATTTTTTGTTTTTGTATGCATGCTACTTTCCCTGTCGCTTGATGGTGGGGTTGCAGTTGAAATTGGCAAAATTTGCTTTAGAGTTCATGGTTTTATATGGCAGGGTTCGGCTCATACAGGTCCAGCTTTGACACCAGCAGAAGTGTTAGTTGCCATTCATGACATCAGTCCTGAGAAAGATGGCCTTCCACTGAAAAAGGTACTCCCTTTTATCCATCTGAAGGTTATGGTTTGGTAAACATATTACTTTCAGATTTGTTAGCTGACTCTGAACTATATATGTACGGCATGCTCTTTTCATTTATTTATGTACTCTACACTTATGTGTCTGTCTATGTTAACAAGAAAAGTAAGATGTTTTTTAGATGCATTTGGCCAAATTTTAAATCCTGAATTCCCTATGTTACAATCATTTAAGTTTTTAAGTGCTACCTTTTCCATTCCGATAGGAGAGAGATTTTTTGTTTAGTTTCTCTCTCTTTTCCCTATCTAGAGCATTTCATTTCTTGTCCTTTTGTTAGTCTTCAACTTCCATCAACTACCTTATTTTTTTCCACCTGAGCATGCAAATAAAAATTAAGCAAGCTGGATCCATAATAGGCAAGATCTTATTTTCCTAAATTGTGGTCACATTTAGTTTAAGGCAGATTTTTTTTTTTTAAAAAAAAAAATACAGATAGATCTCAAATTCACTATAATTTTAGAAAGAATAGGTCCAGTCTATCATTTCAGTAGTGTCCAAACCATCGTTTGCTTGTTGTCTATCTGCCTTAAACTTTCACCCTGTTCACCTTCAATTGAGCATGTTTAGATTGGACATGTTAAATTTTACCTGCCTTGTGGCTTGGGTAAGGTATTTGAATTGTCCTGTTTCATGTTTTTTACAGATAACAGATGTTTGCTCGGCTTGTTTTGAGCAACGCACTGTTTTCACGCAGCAGGTCTTGGCAAAGGCCTTGAATCAGATGGTATGTAAATTTGACTTTTTAATCAGTCTCAACTTTTTATTCAGTTTTGAGACTGATTTTTTTTTTTATTAGAGTGGAGGCCATGATTAGTTTTTAATTTAATTGTTTTTTTCCAAATTCCAGGTTGATCAGATTCCTCTGCCTTTGCTTTTCATGAGAACGGTGATTCAAGCAATTGATGCATTTCCAACCCTGGTAAATTTCACTTAACATGCTTCACCATTCTTAGGTGTCTATATTTTATCCTGGGTTCCGAGGTACTTTTACCTGGAAGCTGCTTTTTGATAGATGTTTATGCAAATTTTGAGATTCTTGACTTTTATCTTGGGCAAAGCATTATCTTATCTAATCCATCTGGGTTGATTTTTATCACTGCCTCTTTACTACTTGCCACATGAAAATTGTAGAGGGATTGTTTGCTGAGAAATTTTCTCTTGTATGTGATGAGTTATTGCCTATAAGAATGCCTGCATTTATGTTTTATTGACTGAATGAAAGGGCATTATTATATGAGAGTGATCGGATCCCTTTTCACTTTGTCCAGGTTGATTTTGTCATGGAGTTACTATCCAAACTTGTGAGTAAACAGGTTAGTTGAATTTTTATTGAGAATTGTGACAACCTTAATGGCTAAGCTTAGTAGCATCATAGAATGCTACAGGGGTAAGGCAACTTGTGTTCTTATGTGTTCGGGTGCAGGTATGGAGAATGCCGAAGTTGTGGGTGGGATTCCTCAAATGTGTAGCTCAGACACAGCCACATTCTTTTCCTGTATTATTAAAGGTATCATATGATCTAAGGTATATGATGAACTTACTGATGCCTCATTGTTATTTAAGGTGACAGTTTTCTTTCCCTGTCTGGTTATTGCAGTTGCCGGCTCCACAACTTGAGAGTGCTCTAAACAAATATCTTAATCTCAGAGGTCCCTTAGCAGCATATGCAAACCAAGCGAGTACAAGAGCTTCCCTACCTAGGTACATTTCTCTATATTTTAAATGTCAACCATCCTGGTGCAAGGGAAAAAAAAAAGGCAAAAGAAAGGAATATTATTATAGGCTATTGATTAAAGATGCTTGTTTTCATTTTATGAAGTTGTTGTAGTATATTGTCTTTAAATTTTTTAAGTCTTTCTGAATCATATACCTCACCACACTTCCAAGTGGTTTATGATTTTAAGAATAATAGTTATTTGTCTAAATTTGGTCATAATGTTTTATCAAGAAACAGAAAGAGAACAATCATTTTGTAGATGAATTTAGTCCGTTCAAGTTTACATGCATTTAAGGCTAAAAATTTAATCCTTCAGAGTTGAGATTTTGGTCTCCAAAAGTAACATTAGTCCCTAAAAGTTTGAATAGCTGTTTTACAATTAAGGATGTTTCAAGCATCCCTTTTCATGAGCCATTATCCTAGTGCATTGCCTGGAGGGCTTTGTTCACCTTGAAGGTAGGCAATGGAAATTTTGTGTTCTCCAACTCACTCGATAAGGCTGAAAAATTAGAAATGATTTCACAGTTCCACTTAGTCATGTGTGCAGGCAGAGTGATTTTTGCATCATGATTCTCATTGTGTTTACATTGTGGCAGATCAACACTAGTGGTTCTTGGTCTTGCAAATGAATGACATGCAATGACCACCCATGTCGACCATACACCCATCAGACAACAGTTCTTCAATTTAGGGAACTACTCTGACGTGAAAATCAAAGCTTCACAAATTAGGAATGGACAAACTGTGCATACCCAATCAAGAGGTCTGTGCCATTCAAGAATTGGGGTCATTTGAGAACAACGGAATTCGCTATCATAGCCATTGCTTGCCTCAGTAACTCGGGAGACTACAAGCTTAACTAATCGCATTCTTACCAAGAGATCACCATTCAAGATTAATCTGACCCCTCTCATTCCCAGTTTTTTTTTTTGGGATTGTATCATAGGTGTAATTTGGTCCTATTTCTACTATTTGTCATGTATATTTCTTGGAAAATTTTCCAAACCTCTAAATCTTTGATGCGTTTGATCGATGTGTTGTGATAGGTTGGGTCACCATTCAAAAAGCAAATACCGAATGTTCCCTTGTTTTGGCTTAGGGAACCATGTACTTTCCTTGAGGATTGAGTGGTTAAAGCAATGGCCATACGGTTCTGAGAGTGGAATGATCTGGCTAACACTCTACTTGTCCTAAAATAATATATTTTTTGCTTAATTTTTTAAATTAAAGATTTAAGAATAATTTTTATATTTATTTATATTACCATAAAAAAATAAAAACAAATAAATTTTTTGTATGATAAATAATTAATGTTAAAATAATGATAAAATTAAGGTAAAAAAATTATCACTCTTAAAACATAAAAAATAACTATTATTTAAGATACATTTTAAATTAAAAAATATTTAGAAAAAAAAGGGGAGTAAAAGTTTTGATTTCAGCAGCTTTTGGTATTTCTGAATCATAAATATCGACCATCTGAAACAAAAAAATTGCTTTTCCATTATCCTCTTTTTACCATAAAAGTTTTTGAACATGACGATGCCGTGCGGCTTGCTTCGGCTTGATACGAGGCCCAAGTACAATGGATGATTTCACAACATCCCCCAGGTAAGACACTTCCAATTTTCAGTAGGGTGGATGGTGAAATAATGTGTTCCAAAAAGAATAACAAACTAAAGAAAACCCATACACAGCCACAGGAACTCTATAAGGAAATAAGAATGTAGAAACAAGATTTTGTCCTGTAAAGAATAAGAAACTGCCAAAATCTACCCATAGAATTCACAAATCCTCTATCCTCTCGGTCAATGCCAGTAAATATCTATAGCTGCTGCTTGATGCTGATGGCAGCTAATCTCTTCTTTAAGGCAGTCACCAACACAAACAAAAGGCAGAACTCTGGCAGGAGCAGGAGAATGCTAAATTACAAAAAGATTATTTGATGAGGTGAATATATAACATTGCATTCTAGGAAAAATCAAGAGCTAGATATACAAACAAACAAGGCCTCAAGTAAGGAACTTTTACAAGAACCATGTTCCAAAATTGTCTTCCTTTCCTCCACCTTGAAGGAATAGGAACAAAGGAAGTTCTTCTGTTTCTCCAATTGATTTTTTGTTTCAAGCATATCCATCTTTTAAGGCAAAGGCAAAACTTACAGATGCTGAGAATTCCAGTTTCATGGATGCGTGATCAACAGTCAAACTCACCTCCGCCTCTGTGTATTAAATCACCAATATGAAAGTCCATCACTGTATGGGCAAAATAACGTCAAGGTTCTCCTGGAGTAGCCAGCCTCTCGGATAAACAAGATTCTTTGTATCCAAATGGAGATGCCAGTTCTGTATCCTTGAGCAACCAGGGGGTGTACCTTCCATCTGACTTTCGTCTTCCACCACTTGTTCTATAAATGTAGTTTCCTGTGGAAAATCAGTTTAAGGCCACAAATGAAAAGATGATAATTCTAGAAATAACTTGAGAAATTCAAAGTGACATCGCTGAGTAAAATTCGAAAGATGCAACTGGCTGATGCATACTTGAAAACCCTCCTTCACTGTGTCCAACTGTCGAATTGAATTTCGAAAGGGGCGTTTCCATCTTTTTGGGTCCCACAAGATGGTGCTGTTGAAAGCAAATCCTGACATATCAACATGAAACCGCCGAAGCCTTTTGCTTTTCTCATTTGTGTGCCATCCAATCACTTGAGTTCCATTGCATATTGGACCTTCCAAAATTGCCTTGTTTTTACTTGGAGTAAGCATGGCAACAGGCCAAGTACCAAAACGGCTACATCACAACGGGAGCTACTTTAGTACAGGAATAATAGCTACTCTAGAAATTTGTTGAGGAAGAAGAAGAGGTACATCAAAAGTCATATAATTAAAAGCAGTATTTAAAAAATCTCTGACAAAATCACAATTAAGACAAATTAAGAAACTAATTCATGGCAGCAATAGGATATACAATACTCAGCATTCACATACCTTTATAATTATAATCTGCGAGGTCAACACAGTTTATTCAAACATATTCATTTACATAATTTTTTATTTAAAGAGCAGATATTTAATCACCATCCAAACTCAAGGCAACTATGATAAACAAAAGAAAAGAGGATGTAGTAAGACATGGAAAATTAAAACAAACAATGTTGAGAAAATAAAAGAAAATTTGAAGGATAAAACCACATGAATATCACAAAAGCAGGCACTGTATGTTCACAACCTCACAGTTGATTAATAACTGCCACAATTAATTGCTCAAAACTAGTTAAAAAACTATATTTGATATTTGAAGCGTCCTGTAAATATAAATACGTGAAATTCATTTGGGCAGATCTTAAACGTTAAACTCAGAAAAGAGAAGACCTAGGAATAGGAAGTGAACAAGGAACTGGATCTAGAAATTAAAATAATACAACAAGAACCATAAGATATTGAAAGCAAACTGATGAATGCATAGACATTGATGGCATCGTGGACGGTTGTAAAGATATATCATTGACAAGAACTATAGAAGTTAAACATTCATAGTAACACGAACCACTAGCAAATGTTTCCAAACATTAAGTATAGTAGTTAAGACAGTTGCAAGATAGCAAATATCACAAACAACAAAGCATACCCAAGTCTCATTTTAAAAAAAGAAGAAAAAAAAAAAAAAGCAAAGAAATCAACTTTCCATATTTAGCACTTCCAAACCGAAATTCTAATAACAACATTCAAGAATCATAAATTCTCAAAGGTAATGCATCTAATGTTGCGTTGTCACACTCTATTAAAAGTAGCATCCCTAAAACAAACAAAGGATGAAACTCTGACTCCAATATAAGGAACACCCAGCATCATACAAACATGATAGAGCATCAAAGCCAAAAATATACCTGATGCCCCTCAAGCTCTCAAACAACTCAAGGGAGTATACATTATCATCGTCGGCAAAATACACAATCCCATCAAGCTTATGCCGCTCCATATGCTCCAAAGCCGCATTCCTCTGGTGTACGCCTCTGTCCTTCACACTGCTTGAATTAACTTTAGTTACCAAGTGCCTATACATCACTCCCGTCTTCCTCAGTATCTCTGCCGTCTCGAAAGATGCCGATTTCTCCTCCACAATAATCCACAGCACTGGAGGCTTTACCAATCTCAGCAGCTGCCCTAACCTGTTCAAGAAATACGCTTGAAATGCCCGATTATACGTCGGAGTCACTATAATTAACTGCTTTCTCGGTTCTAACTCACTCATCTGATCCTCTAAACTCTTATCGACCGTCAAAGAAACAGAATTAATGCTCTGATCGTCCAATTGCACATTGACGAACGGCGGTTTTAGGTCGGGAAGGGTGAAATCCTGAGTCTGGATATCGGTTTCAATGTTACCAAACGGAGTCATTCCGAATAAAAACCCTAGGAGGAGGAAGATGAGACACCGGTAGAAGGATCGCCGCCATCCTCTCCGCGAGAGCAGACTGAGCGCGCTGAATAACGGTAAATGCGGCACGGATTGGTATTTACTGTTGCCATTGGGTAAAAGCTTGTGAGATGCTGGCGAGTAAGGGGAAGAGACAGCGGTCCCGTTCTGATAGAGACGGTCGTTAAGCGCTGGCGAGAGAGTTCGTCGGATCGAGGCCATCTGATCGAAATAAACTTTCACATGATCCGGCGTAACAGACGACGATTATGAAGCGAATCCAATGGAAAATTTCGTTAGGATTGCGTTAGATTACAGCAGAATTCTCCGAGGAGATCCAGAGAAGCGGAGGCGGCGAAGATCTAGAACGAGGAGGAGGAGGAGGAGGAGGAATTCAGTTTTGGTGGGGTGGCTTTACCGCGGAGGCGCGGAGGGTAGGGGAGGGGTGCGCAGTGCGCACAAGGGAG